CAAATCTTTTTTACACATACAAATCTTTTTTACAAGTACAAAATATTTATGACCACATTTTGAGCCCATAAATGCTAACCCTATTATAAAAGCAAACAGACATATTTTTAAACATGCACCCTCACAAGTATACAAGATGTTCTAGTTTTCTCAGAGGATGTATATTCATTAGGATAACTGAGTATTTGGATATCTTCGTGCCCACTGTTTAAAAAGACACGACTGCTACTTTGTAAAAGATGACAAAGTGTGACACTTCATGATTCATAACTAATCTGGTTAAGCCTAATGAATCATGTGTGAACATGATGGAAAGTTCATGATCCAGCATGCTCACACATTTGTGCTGTGCTGCAATATGTAGCCTACAGTCAGTCCAACAAGTACACACGCTGCCAGGTTCTACTTCAACTGAACACACCTAACAGCAGTTCGAGGAAATTACCACATTTGTGGAATTAGTAAGGTGAGAACAGAAATTATCTCCGTGTCCCTCCCAAAGCCTTGCAGTAGTTCTACAAACATATCTCACGTGCTTAACACACATCTGGATCATTGCTGAGCTCAGAGGCGCATAACCATTTTGAATCTAAAAGCCGAACCTGACCTTCTTGTTTGGATGTCGACCAGAAATCGCAAAGCTAACACGTGCAGTCGCTGTAGCATTAACTCTAAAGACCAGATGGATGGCTGTGCCAAATTTCATGGCAACCCATTTAACTTTAGTTCATGTAATCCCTGACCAAGCACGGAGGAATAGGCACGTCTTCTGACTTTGGAACTGCCTTCAAAACCAGATGGTACTTCTCAAAGGCCTAATAAATAAAGTTGGGAACTCTTTAAATTCATCCTTTGTACTCCATGAATTCATTCATTAATACCTTCTTGTCATGCTGCAAACATGTTTCTTATTTTTGTATAGCTGCTTTTAAACCACAAAACAAACCAAGTAGATACTTTGGCTCTTTTTATGGTAACTAACAGGTGGTGAGCAGTTGAAGAACTGTACAGCTACATGTAAAAGTACAGCTAATGAATAAGTAGCTGTTCCCTTGACAGATCTAAAATCGACATCTACTAAAATCAACTAATATCCAGTCTAGTTCAGCAATTTTAAAAGTTTAAAAGACTGATAGCACCTATAGTGTATAAATGAAATTCTTTCTGTAGAGAATAAAGAATCTTCGTGATAGATGTAATGTTTTTTATTTGACTGATATTCTAATGCAGTCTCTCCATTATTTACGTCCTGCTCACCTGCTCACTGCCCAGCGTGCCTGTCCCCGATCCAAGTGCCCGGCCTCCAAACAGGTGACTGCTGGTTTCGTTGTCCAAGCAACTTAGTCCTCCATCGGGAGACTCCAGCACTGTAGCCACGTGGTTCATGGTAGCATGGGGGTTGGAGATAACAGTAGAGTTCTTCATGCTTTCAGCTGTGGTCACTGGCGCCTGTTTACTGGGCTTTCCACCAAATAATCTGTGGTAAATGCGGAAGAGGCAGAAAAGCTAAAGTGCTTGTAGTAGAGCAGAAAGTGTGCAATCTTGTATTTGTAATCAGCAAATTCACAATTAACACTGTAGTATATCATCGCATAAATAATTCAATTTAAATTTTTGTATACAGCACCAAACCATAATCACCCAAAGGTGCTTTATATTGTGAGATAGAGAGCCTACAATAATACAGAAAAAAACTAACAATTATACAAGCCCCTATGAGCAACTACTTGGTGAGAGTGGGAAGGAAAAACTCCCTTTTAACAGGAGGAAACTTCTAGCAGAACCAATTAAAAAAAGTAGCATATTAATATTAATAGAAAATAGAAAAAGGAGTAAAATGTTTAGAGAGTACCATCATTCTATTACGTTTGTGTTGAGATGATGATCATTTCATGTTATTACTCTGAAATTTACTCTGGAAGCATCGGGCATTCGCTGAATTTAAAAATAAAAACCTTAATAAACATATGAATAAATCAATACACTGAACTAAAGCTGCCAAAGCTAGAAAAGAAGTCAGTTTGATCTTACAGGTAAGGACAAAAAGCTGTGTTGTACTTCAGAGCACCATATTTATGATAGAAGATAAAACGTCTAAAATATGACAGAACAACTTTTGTTGTTGTTGTTTTTTCTTTCATCAATACCTTAGTTTTATAATCACTGAAAGCTGAAAACTAAAACTTAGATTACCTGGACAGCCTAGTTTGGAGCTGTGGCAGGATTAAAGTGTTAAATGGAGCAGCAAAGTGATTTAAAAGTGCTTTTGTTTTGCCAACAATTCAACTGTATTCATTTCAACTCTGTAACAAAGAGGACAGTAGCAAAACTGTAGCCAGTATAGAGTCAGTGAATCTGAGACAAGGCCAGCACACACACAACTCTCTCCTCTTTCTATGCTAATCTGTGGTTAGATTTAAATGGCAGGCAGCGGTGACTGGAGCCGTGGTAGGCGATAATAGCAGCACAGTCTCTTTGAAGAGTTATCACTCCCTCACATTAATGAGGGCAGAGAGCTGAGGTAAGACTCAGCTTCCATTACCCTGTGCCACACCCTACACCCCACACCACCAAGGCTGAGGCTTGGCAGCTGATCAGCCGAGCTCAAGGTCTGATTCACAATGGCCTGATTTAACCTCTCAAAGACTGTAACAAGTCTACACATGTGTTCCTTACTCACCACTACTTATCATTTGCTGTGAGTGCATGATTACTGCCTTTAAAATGGTCTTCAGTGTGTGTGTGTACTGCATGCGGGTGAAGTCAAGCCCATACAAGAGAGCCCCCACAGAGGGTGGCTCATCACTTAGCTGTCAGTGAGTCTGCAGGATTACTCAGCATACAAAACGATGGTTTCTAAGTGTGTGTGTTCACCTGCGTAATGTAGGTGAAGAAACCTGCTGTCTTCCTGTCAGAGGAACAGTTGCTGCTCCTCCGCTCTGCATCGCGACCCCACTCCTGAGGTTGTCAATCTCAGAGACACCTTTTTCCCGATCTGTCTGATTGGCCAGCAGGCTTGCTGAGCCGTTGGCCTTGGCTATGCCGATTGAGTTTTTCCCATGAGAGGTGACAGAAAGCACAGCGGCTTCAATGCTGCTGGTGGAGGAGCGGTTCCCATTGCGGGCGGCTGCTCCGGAGCGGCTGGGTCTCGGCAGGCTTCGGTACTGCAGGGTGGAGCGGGCGCTCATCGGGAGGAAACCATCATCATGGTGTCCTAACACTGTGCCTCCATCCTGCCCGCCAGCCTTCAACCCTCCGGACAGTGAGCGCGCCCCAGATTTAGGCATCTTCCCCAGTGTAGCCGAGCCGCTGGTGATGGTGGCACCACTGGTGGTAACCATTGTTACCATCCCATGGCCTTGCTTCTTGAAGCCAAAGGTGCTGGTTGGGGTGCGTGAGGTCAGTGCGTGCGTCTGTGTGTGAGGCTCGGAGACTGGGTTTGTGAGTGTGTGTGTTGTCGGTGTGCGGCTGGTGGGGATCGTCTGTTTTTTGGCCTCATCACCACTGCTGCGCCCAGCATCCGAGGGTGAGCGATGAAGGCCGTTGGAACGAGGAGAGAGACGTCCTTTTTCTGACACCTTAACATCATCTGTCTTACCTGCAGGACACAGAATGAGACATCAGAAACACAGGCTTTCAAACTCTGACTTGACATCTCATTTTTCTCAATACAGTGACGCCTGCATCTATAAAATGTGACAACTTGTCCTTATGTCTAAAAGTTTATTCGTCACACTTGACTTTAATGATCATTTTTTTTATTATCAGTGCTGGATGATCATGTTACCTGAACTGTGGGTCTTGTGGCTCACTGAACCAGTGGAGCCTGTGCTACTAGTGCTTTTAGTCCGGGGTGACGTCACCCCCACCTGAGTGCTCATGCCTCTCCTCCAAGAGCCAGTGTGGGACATGGAGGGAGTCTTTCTTCCTGAGCCACCCTTGTCTGACTCATCAGAAATGTCGGAGGGGTTCCGACGACTCCACCTGGAACCTGCTTCCATCCTAACCCCGCTGTCTGAACGTCCGTCTGACCTCTTGACCTCGTCTCCAGACCAAGTCTGGTGTGCCGGTGTTGAGGCTGAGTGCTTCTCTGCATCCGTTACAGGCTGGGAAGACATACAAAGATAGTCAGATTTACTGCAGTAGTAGAGAATGTGGCTCTAAAAAGCCCCCTTTTATGACCAAAGCCATCATACTGGTTAAAGCTACCAGCATTTACGCCGTCATCACCACCTGTGCAGCTGTCTGAGAACATCTGGGCTTAAGCATCTCGAGCACTAACAGCTTATACACTTTTTTACCTTTGCTTTGTCAAGCAGTTCATGTTTTTGAGGAAGCTACTTCATTTCAAAATTTTCTGAAGCAAGATGCAAGCCTTTTAAAACTCCGATAGGTGATCATTGAAATCATGCTGACTGTTTAAGCTTTACTAAATTTCAATTTGCTGTTACAGCTCAGCCTTAATTTGTAAATTAGTAGATTTCAGCTACAGGAAAGATGACAGCAGCTTTTAAGTAGATTCTGCAGCTTTCCAGACAACGGTACAAAAACGCAGCTCTGCTCACAGACCTTAAAAAAAATCCAGCCAATATAGGATTCCACGAGGACAGATGACACACACTTAATGAATCTGGCTGCTGCACTAAGAGAAAGACGTCTTTGTGCACACCTTTGTTTTTCTTCTCCACCTCTGCCTCTGAAGCAATAACAGACACGCGTCAGCCACAACACAATGTGTGTGTGTGACATAAACATGTGAGTCAGCTGTTAATATTCTCATTTCACCTCTCAACTTCCTGAGCCTTTAGTGGCTCAAAATCACTATTTAATGGTTTAAAGCTAGTGTCAACACCAGCTTTAGCTTTGAGAGTTCAGAGATGTGCCGAGGAATGCTGGGACAGACACGGTTCGAAAAAAAAAATTGAAGTAGAGCAGACAGACGCTCATTCAAATCAATCAAAATAAAAAATAAAAATCCAGGCCATATGAGGCCCTTCACAAATTTTCATCTGGCTCACATTTTAAAAGATAGAATATGTTAATTTTGGCCCAGAGAGTTACATACACTCCCTGCAAATGCCAAACTAAACGGACAGGCACGTCTCCACTGCACCTGAAGATTAAAGAACACAAGAAAAAAGCAAAGTTCATTTTGAAGGCAGATCATTTCAACTCAGGTGGGAGACTGAGTTTGTTTTTATAGAGTGTACAGAGAGGCCTGTATGTCCATTGGCCATCAGACAGTTTCTAAATAAAAAAAAAACATTAATGCCTTGCTGTCATTTTGAATCCACAAAGCAACAAAGATATGGAGCCACAGATGGAAACAAAGGCTTCAGAAAGTTGTTAAACTCAAAGCAGGCATGCAACTACAGCAGAATGTTTCCAACCTCAGATACAGATGGTTTCATATTTATAACTAGCGTCAAGACAGAAGGTTAGGCTATAGATTACAGGTTTGTTAAGACTTGCAGACATGTGTGCAGCAACAACAATAAAGATTTATTATTTCTATTTTCAAATAAAGACTGTGGTTTTATTTTCAGCTGTCAAATTAAAATGTCATGAAACAGGTTGGTGTGAGGTGCCCAGATGGTGGACCTCTTACACAACCATAATCAGAAAACACTGTTATGTCCTAAATAACAACAGCTAACATTTTTCTTGACTGGTACCCTTGAGTTTTCATGTGGGCACAAAGAAAATGCCTGCTCTATTTTGGCGAAATAAATCAAAAATAATGATAAAACAAAAATGATCATCTTTGACGAGAAGCTCTAAACACTCTTAAAAAGACTGCAGTATTCTTGAGTGTGTAGTCTCACCTGTGTACTGAGGCCCTTGCGCTGTGCTGCGGGGGTGTTGGCGTATGAGGAGATGGAGGAGCTGGTGTTGATGTCATCTGTGTCGATGTTGTCGCTGATGCCACTGCTCACAGAGCTGCTGTCGTCCCAACTAGACACACACACACCAGTACAGGAGGAAACACTCATTTTAAATAGTGCTTCTTCCAGAGTGAAGACAAAAAGGAAGACAGCAGAGCTTGGAGACACCAGACTGAATCGTGATGCTTCTTATCCTATGAATACAACACTGCACTACCTAAAAGTAATTATTCTGTTCCCCCATTTCCATATTTCTTTTCAGGCACAGACGCACAGAACTTTGAGCACTGCTAAACTGAAATAAACGTTCAGAGCTGCCTCGTGATTTATATTCATTGAAACTGAACTGAATTCAGTGTGGGTACACACACACAAACAGGCTGAATGGGGTTGTCTATCACACGAACAAAGGCGCAATGGAGGGGTGACATCATGGTGTGCTTGTGTGTGTCTGAACTGTTCAAACAGACCCATCTGAACAGGATATTTGTAAATATGCGTGTGTGTGTGTGTTGCTTAGAATCTGTGGGGGACAGGAAACCCAGCCAGTTGGCAAAGATCACTCTGAAAGGACCGGGGGGGGGGATGGTGATGGCCGGTACAGGGTTGGCTTCATCAGAACACACACGCGCACAACTCTTGTCAAGTTGTCACTTGCATTTTTAAGACTCATCGAGGACACATGCTTATTGTACGTTTCATCTACAAATACTCTTTATAAGTTAGTCTGTCAGATAAATCTGTTATTACCTAAAATGTTCTATTTCTAAAATGAAGTAAAACCAGAGAATTTGTAAACTATGAAGGTTGTGCTGTATATGATTTGAAACAATACAGGTTGAATTTGGATTTCTTTGAGCAGTTTGTGTTTTTCTGCAGCTTTCCCTTAACAAAATGAGCAAAACTCCTCAAATCAACAATAGTGTCTGAACATAAGCACCAACACAAGAGCTTCGTCTCATTAAGGGTACGTGTTTGAAAGACCACCAAAAACCTAAACTCAAATATCCCATCGTTTATTTTCTAACTGCTCCAATTCCTCATTCATCTTGCAGTCTTGATTTTTATACAACATTACTGCTCAGTGGCCAACTTGGAAGTCCGCATGAAAACATATAATTATGGCCTTAAAAAAAGAGAAAACTAAACAAAAACAAAGCATTTCCTATGGCAAAAATCCCAGACTCAGATTGCCACCGAAACCTAATCAGCTGTTTCTTGGCAGACTCTAAACAAAATACATCTGCTGCTTTTGGAGCAACCTTGCTAACAACCTGACAAACAGAGACAGGGGAAAACACAACTTCCTTCTGGGATCACCGGCACAAGCAGAGTGAGTGGAGCCATTGGCTTTCAGAGTTGAAAGCATCCGTAAAGCATCCGTAAAGCAAACGAGCTGTGAGGTGCAGAGAGATTGAGAGTGACCGCAACCGGTTCAGCTCATCCACACAGCCACAGGGGAAATTCCCACACACATCAATGCAAGACAAAAAAAAACCCAAAAAGGAAATAAAGATAACATATGAAATCTGCAATGGCCTTTGCAGATTCTCAACAAATCATAGCTGTCTGTGCTAAAGGACAAACTTTCTACTTTCTTTTATGCGTTTGTGCGCGCACACAAAGATAAGAACACACATAGGTATCTACCTGCTCAGGGTGCCTTGGTTGCTGTGGGAAGCAGAGCGCTGCGGGAAAATGCCGAGCTGGACAGAGAGCTTCATGACTCCATGCCGCTGAGAGAGTTCACGCAGCCAAATATCTGTCCCACTCCCTCTCTGTCTGTCGCTCTCTCACTCTGAGCTTCCTCAATGTCTCTTGCTCCCTCTCTTGCCCTGGCAAAGTTCCTAGATTGAGCTCCTTTGTCACTCGTTGCGCTGATGCTTCACCCCTCGGGCACTCTTCGTCTCTCTCTGGACTAACAGAGAGAGAAACCTGTAAGGAGGGGGGGAGAAGGGCCTGCCCTACTGCTGGTAACATGAGCTTCCCCCGGGACTTTTAACCACTTCACTGCTGCAGCCGCACCACTAAAGAGTGCACACTGAAACACACCCCAAGCCCTAAATAAGCCACTTCAGCCTGACAAAAATCAAGAGGCAACAAAAGTCAAAGCTGCATGATCACAGACAAAGTCTCTGAAACTAAAGGACAATCCGCATCCCGCTGCTGCTTTTTTGTGTCTTTCCCAGCCATGGCTTATGCCTGTGTGTGTGTGTGTGTGTGTGTGTGTTTGTAAGACTGCAATTTCCCAGACAGATCCACCCTGACCAGCTGACAAGCCAGTGCTAATTAGAGATCAGGCCAAGCGGCGTGGCTCAGCCCACAGCCTCCCGCTGGCAAAGCAACCTGCCAGTTAACAACCACTGAGCCCTTTACAGCCAATCACAGGAGACAGAGACAGGGGGAACCGGTGCCAAACACAGGCCAATGAGGTCGGCATTTAATAGATCATCACACTGAGGGGATGATGTGATGTACTCCTAACTCTTCCAGTTTACCCAAATCACAAAATTATATATTTTCTCCTCTTAACCTTTTACAGGATCAAGTCATGTAGAAAATTTCGGGATTTTTGGATTTCTTCCTCTAACATAATATAACAGAAGCAAGCGGGATAGGGTATGGAAATGAATGGAAAAGTGACTCTTACATGTAGTGGAGTTTGCAGTTAAACTGTATGTGCAAGTTTGTCATTCATCGGGATGACATGCGGCTACACTGTGTCACTCTGCAAACCAGTCAAACAGGACAGAAGTGAAGAAAGAAAGTGACCTAAATGAAGAGAGAGCGAGAACCCTCGTCTCAAACCAGGTCCCTTTAGAAAACTTGCTGCTTTCCCGAAGGGGTCAGAGTTCAGAAGTCAAACCTCCAAAATTCCTTAAAGAGAAAAGCAGAGAGGGGGAGGCAAGAGGATGAATGAAAAAAATGGGCTCCTGCTCGGGTCAGCCAATAGAAGTGTCTAAAAGTGTCCTGAGAAAAGGGCAGCGGTTGTGTTTGTTTTAACTTTTCTTGTGTGTGTCCCTTGAGGCTGTGGTGGGTTGGTCTGCTGTACTGTACCCCCCCTTCCTGAAAAGCCCAGTCCGACTCTGGCACATGCACACAGGATCTGTGCCGCAGAAATGTACACACAGACGTGGGGCCACAACAGAGCTGCGAAGCAGAAGTAAGGGGATTTCCTGTGTTTGAGGGGTGACTACTGGTCCTCACGTTGCAGCTGTATCACATAACCCCAAACTGCTGCTCTGCCCACTATACAGACAGACAGATGGGAGAGGAAGAGGGAGCGGCTTTAACTGACGGTCTCTCTGACTTCCAGCCCTCAGGGTTTGATGCACGACGCAGATAAGAGCATGGACAACTTGACAGGTGAGTCCTGTGGAAGCATCGGGACAGAAGGAGTGTCTAGACTTTACCTCCACACAAATCAGTGCCATCATAACCATGCAAAACAATTTATTCCTATCACTAAATGGTACAGCATGAAGGATATCAATTTCTCTAAGCCAACGCTGCCTCACAACAGCATTTACACCTGCAGGTGCTCATTGCCTTGAAGCCCAGGAGGAAGTGTTTCCTGTGTTTGAGGTACTTCAAAAAGTATTATTATGGTATAAGAAAAAGTTGAAAGTCTGAAAAAAGACCATATATTTGAATACACTTAAAGCTTAAAACAAACAAACAAAACAAATGATAGGAGGACTAAGTGCGAACAGTGTGAAGATGAAGGCAGTGGAGAACGGCACATTCTGGGCTGGAGCCCAGGAGCCCTGTGGTATGAAAATGACACAGCTGTCCCTGTAAGACAGGACTGGACTGGACTGGACAACACACTGAGGAATGTCTCTCTCTCTCGCTCTCTCCATTTTTTTCTCCATCTCTCTTTGGTGTCTAGTCCTATTGTCTTCTGTCCTGGGAAAACATTTGCTATCTATACTCTGAGAATTTATCAAAGCATGTAGATCCCTCTGGCTGCCGCTCTTTCACTTAGCTTCTCTTTGACTTCTCCCTCTCTCTCTTTCTATTTGATGTGTAAACACAGACTCCTTTAGATTCGACAGACTGACCCGGATCCACGGTAAAAACTCAACAAACTTTTCACACACGTGACACGCATCTCTGAACTCACGCACATGACTCCACCATGCTGCATCTGCACACGCGACAAAAAAACCCCCTAAATTTAAAAGACTACTGTGACAAACTTGGAATTCCTCATGTCTGCAGGCATAAACACACACCGCACTCAAAACTAACCTACTGTCACCTCAATGCTAGAATGAAGCACAGAGCTGTGACTCCTGCCTGTAGACCATCGGTTAAGGAAACAGGCTCCCGGGATCGCTGGGATAAATAAAGAAAGAAAAGACGGCTACAACATAAAAACAGATTTTTCCTAAGCTGTCCCTTTGTTTTAATACTCATCTGGTTTGAAATCTTTAAAAGAGTCCCCAGATGACAGATGATAACCCACTTTAAGGAAATAAAACATTTTCAAGAGGCTTCTCTCTTACTCTTGAACCATTTGTGTTTTTCTCCCACTTTTCTAGTTTTTCGACAGATGCTCTTGGTTGGGTTTCCATCTAAGCTAACGATTAGTCATGCAGTGCAAGACTGTGCAGTAAATACAACTGCTGATGTAAAAAAACAAAAACAAACCCCCCCCAAAAAACCCCATTCCTGTTTAACATGTATCAGCTGTATATCTATTATATAAATATACAACTGGGATAAATGAAGGATAACATTTGGGAATCATGGGACAAAATATGCTGTCTGTTTCAGGTCTGCAGACCTGAAACACACTCGTGTCCCCAGAGCTTTTCCTGAGCTCACATGGTGAAACGTGGATAATCAGCTTAATACTTTAAAGCTGCAACCTGCACGAACCCCACTCCCTTACTCCCCATCTGAATTCAAGCTAACATGGAAAATATATGATTCAGGGAAGGTATGGAGAGTTAAAACTTACTCTGTGTTGCTGATTCCACAAACCACTCGCTGTAGATTAGTTAATGCTCCTTTGATCTGCATTCCCCATCTATTATCACCTCCTGGTCTGGGTCAGATTCC